CCACAACACACCCCCTGTCCCTATCCCAGTCCCCATTGCAACAGACATTTCCGGGCGAAGATCGGCCCGATCAGCCATCAATAGGAAGCCAAGGTCGTCTAGCCCAGCGAAGGACTAACATCAATTAAGTGTTGTTATAGGAAGGAAGACGACGCAGAGAGGCGGGGATGAGTGATGATTTATTACGTGTCATTTGTTGCTGTCTTTTTTCCACGGAATGGGAAGAGAGTGGAGTACCATTATTGGTCAGTCGGCGTTTCCTTTCTCTCTTTCTATCTTTCTTTCTCTCTCTCTCTCTCTCTCTCTCTCTCTCTCTCTCTCTCTCTCTCTCTGTCTCTATCTATCTCTCTCTCTCTCTCTCTCTCTCTCTCTCTCTCTCTCTCTCTCTCTCTCTCTCTCTCTCTCTCCCTCTCTCACTGTTTACAGACAGAGGCAAGGGAAGATAACGAGCCGGGTGTGCGTCTAAATAATGTCATGTACTCTGTCGTTATGAAGATATCCAAGTCTGCCTCATCAAAAAGCACGTCGTTGCCGGTGTCTATGTGTGACGTTTAAGTGCTACGCCATCGCACACAGAAGACGTGGGTTTGATTCCCTTTTGCATGTATATATATGAGGAAAAGGGGGGGGGGGGTGAAAGAGGTATTGAAGTATCTTAATCTCTCTGCTGGGACGTTGTATCCCTCTAAGCCCGGGTTGGTCTTGACAGGCAGGCTCGGATCCTAAATGATCTAGATTGTGTCGATGAGGGTGAAGAGAACCTACATTAATTTTAAAAACTATGCTACCTATTTTACCTGCTACTTGTATCTGTGAACTTTTTTCTTTTTGTGACATGCAATCGTGCCACAGTATTTTCTTTGAAAAGAAGCTACAGTTTGTAGCATTAAGATTCTCTTATCAGCACACTGATAGCCTCTATGATTTATGAAGCTTAAAAACCTTATGGAATCGTCATCGGTCATCAGGGCTCATGTTAAATGCATAGTTTGATATCGTCACGCTAGATTTTACAAACAGACCTAATCTAGCCCTCGATTGTTTCTCAAATTCAGGATGTTTACATGTGAAAGTCCTGGCCACTTTGGCGCAAGATTTGCTCCCCACATTACTGGAGGGTTAGACTATCTTCGCTGCTCTGCGTGATTTTTAAGGGAGAGAGAGAGGGGGAAGAGAGATGGAGAGAGAGAGGAGGAGAGAGAGAGGAGGAGATAGAAAGGGAGAGAGAGAGGGGAGAGAGAGAGAGAGAGAGAGAGAGAGAGAGAGAGAGAGAGAGAAAGAGAGGAAAAAAAGAGAGAGAGAGAAAGAGAGAGAGAGAGAGACAAGGGAAGACAATGAACAGGGTTTGCTTTTAAATAATGTCATGTACCCGGTCGTTATGACGATACCTAAGTTTGCCTCAAAAAGCAAAGGGTGTGAAATCCCAGGAACAGTCTAAGACCAGTT